TCGATCTCGTTCCTATCACGATTCAAGTTAGTTAATGTTCTTGTATTAATGTACTCTCACAATTATAAAACTAGTCTTAAGCAAGATTTTTTGTCCTTTGCATTTAGGTTGATGTTCCGTTCGATTTCCATCGTTCAATAATTGGCCAGAAGGGTAAAGATGTGCGTGAATTAATGAATACATATGATGTGCACATCATGCTTTCTCCAGCGGAGGAGAAATTGGATTATATCAAAGTAATTTTTTGTTATATATTGAGATTATTAAAATTAATATAACTATTATCTCGTAGACTTATCGTTTATCTATTTTTTTTTTTTTTTAGATTTCTGGAACACCATCCTGCGTTCAAAATGCCAAAGAAGCTATCCTTGAAAAATGCGAGGCTTTGAAGGCCGAACGAGAAGATCGAGCATTAAAATCATTTGAATTAAAGGTAAATTTATTATTAATTCATGATTAATTTTCCAATAATTTATAGTATTTTGGAAAAAAGAGAAAAATATGCTCGAGTATTTTTTAAAGAAATATAACGTATTAAATGTTATCTCGTTAATATGCATATGAAGTACATAATTCACATTTATTCAATTAGCTTGAAGTTGATCCGGAATATCATCCAAAAATTATTGGGCGAAAAGGAGCGATAATCAGTAAAATACGTAGTGATCACGATGTTCAAATTATTTTCCCGCGCAAGGGTGATTCCGAGGAAAATATTATTTCAATAACAGGATATGAGAAGAATGCATTCAGTGCACGAGATGATATTATGAAGATTGTCAATGAATTGGTAAGTCAAGTCTCATAGAAATACCTTTATAAAAATATCTATTCTTATTAGTATATTATAGTTTATATATCTTTGTCCTCCAAAATAATCCAACAGAACAGTTATAAAAATATTTTGTACTTAAAGAGATTCATTTAATACCATTTATTATTTTCTCTTATTCACATTTTAGAATGGTTTAGCGAAAGAGGAAGTGCAGATAAACGCTGCAGTTCATTCACGTTTAATAGGCGCAAAAGGTAGAAATATCCGTAAAATAATGGATGAATTTAAAGTTGATATAAAGTTCCCGAAAAAAACCGATGCCGACCCCAATATCGTAACGATCGTGGGAGCGGAGGACAAAGTAGCCGAAGCGAAAGAACGTTTGCTGAATCTAGAGGAGGAATATGTAAGTGACGTTTGATTAAAGTTGTTTATAATGTATCTTAAAACTAATAATTAACAAAAAAAAATTACGATGCAGATGCAAGATGTGATAGAAAATGAATATCGCGAAAGTTTGCGTTCGTCTCGCGACGACGGTAGCAACATCGGTGGCGGTGAGAATGACACCGGCTTCATCGTGAAAGGAGGACCATGGGAGCAACAACAACAGCAGCCCCAATGCGCACCGAATACAGCCAGTGTAGAAGAGTTCCCGCAGTTCGCTGGTTACTCTCATGTACCCGTTGTAACTCCAGATGGCCCTTGGGGAATTAAGCGTTAAGATATAAATCCGAAAAAGTTCACCGTAAAAAAATATCCAATTGATGACACCTAATAAGCTAATGAGATGTAAGGTAATTTTCCTCTGACAAACTGTATGTAAAACATATATGAGTATACGCGTATAACATAACACGGTACATACACACATGAAACACATCATACATTTGCATATGCACTTGTGTTGGGTGGTTCCCTGTTCCATTACTGACGTTGTTGCTGCATACGACCCGGCCATTCTATTGGACTCTGACACTGGTTTACTATACACAACGTTTGATGACGATGTTTATATTTACAATTCATAATACCGATGTCCTATGTATCTGTAACTGTAACGCATGTTATATCCTGAGTCCGTTGCCATGTCACTCGGTCCAGTCGGACGTAATACAGTCGTACGTCAAGTACGATTTAATCGTGACATTCATTTATAATGAATGATGTGCTTTTCAGGTACAGATATGTTGTACTTAAGACTGTGGCTTCGTGGGAAATAATCGGATCAGTGTTCTGCGGAAAAAGACTGAGTCCTCAGAAATTCCGAAGTAGAAATATTCTGTAGTATTTTCTACTCTACAGAAATGCAAATTGTCCATGAATACAATTTGTATTCTACTATCTCAATTTGTATTAAACAAATTTTTGTGTATATTAGTTTTTCCTGCAGAAAGAACTGGCCGATTCGTGTATTATATTATTTTCACAGATATAATCTTTATACTACGTATAGACCGCTCGCTAACAGTCATACGTTGATCTTAGCATAATAATTTGTTAATTTATTTATCTCTTTTGTACATATATCACATTTTCTCGTTATTTTGTGCCACTTAGGTGAAGTGGTTTCTAAATTACATCATGATTGTTAAAATTTATATTATAAAATTTTCATGAATCAAAAAAGAAAGAAAGGTAGGGGCTTTCTAGGGAAAAGTTTGTTCTTAGAGGGATTACGCCATTTTTAAACACATTAATTATTACCAACATCTCCATAATTTTAATGCAATATAAATAAGAGATCTGTCGATACATTGAACCGCATACTTATCAATAACGATGTCTAAATAACACGATTTGTAATCTGAGATTGAAAATCAGTATAATCTTCGTGAATGAAATTTTTGATGCTATATAGAAATAGGAAAATGTGTTTTATGCTATTTTTCACATTTGCATTGTTCTCAGTAAATAGAAAATCATTTTCTTGTACCTGTGACATCAAAATGAATTATTATACTATTTTTAATTATTATAAGAAATCAATGTTGTATGTTAAAGAAACGCGATATTTAAAAGGCCTTGATCCCGCACCGCTTATTCATTAAGGCTACGATCCGTTGCACACGTAATGCACATGATATATTCTTTATCCTCATTTAATACTCTACGAAAAACAAAGATAAAATGATATACCTCATGCGCGTTATACGTGTAACAGAACGCAGCCTTAGATGTACGTGAAATCGGCACTTTGCAGAGAATGGTCAAATTAAATCTGTTGAATGATATTATGAATAGTGAACGATACACGAATTTCTTTCGATAACCGGCTTTATTTATTTGCTCTACTTTACCATTTTGTACACTGTTTGATGTGCAAATCTTTGCATTCTACTATTTATGAGGCCAACTAGCTAAGAAAAGGATATTAAGTTCAAGTGCCTTGTCTATTTTCTTCGAGACAGCTCATTTTAATTGTTGGAGGAATGTGAATAATAGATTATACATATAAATAAATAAAAATACAGTATATATGTATATACATATATATTATATTTATCTAGGATATCTGAAAATCACTGGATAATAGGTACTCTTAGAGATTCCGCTCACGAATTCTCAATGTAATAGCTAATATTCTCGAATTAAAAGTCTTTTACAAGCTATTTTGTATTTTTCGGCTCTCATTTTCGCGAGAAAACGCATTTTTAATAGCTCATCATTTTGAAATTATCGATGCTTCGACATTTTTAATGAATAAAATATTAAATGATGTATTTTATCTATATAGAAAGTATCACCAGTGATTTTAGGATAGCCTGTAATATACACACATCACATTATAAACACATACATAGATATGGATAATAATTATTATAAATAATATGTAATATGTAATAGAAGAGAGAGAAAGAGAGAGAGAGAGAGAGAGAGAGAGAGAGAGAGAGAGAGGTAATAGGTACCAGTGTCGGTACATTTATACACTGCTATTATGTGAATGAAATAATAGGATTATCATGTATACAGAAATTCACTTATATTTTTTAGATTTACAGAAATTTTTATAAATCTACTTGGTACGGCGACCTATGTGTCATCTCCAATGCATGGTAAATGTAAGGAAAAAGCCAGAATTAGTAAAATTTTAATATGCTTAGTTTTGGCTAAGAGTTTCATAGATGCTGTGCATGAATATAATTTTCTAATGAGTTATAATAAAATATATTGTAATTACATAAAACAATATTCTCTGTACACATAAGTAAATAATATTATAACACATGGATTATATTGTAACAATATACTACATTCATTGATCTATTTATCCATTTCCTATACGCATACATTCTTTCCCGTCATTTCAAAATATCGATTCCAAATAAAATAACTTTTATTTTATTATATAAACATTATGAAATATATATAGTATCAGTCAGAAGTACTGATAAAGAATTTATCAATATAGAATAAAAGCACGTCAAAATTCATACATTGAAATATATCTCCTAAAGAAAAGTTGTATTTTCAATACTACGTAGCTGTTTTATGAATCCATCATTAGGTCTGATGCAACTTCTTGCTCTTTTCACTATATTGTAAGCTTCGTCATATGATAATTTCTTAATAATCATTAAGTAAGCGATAACAATACTGGCAGAACGAGAAACTCCAGCGTTACAGTGCACAAGAATATTTTCTTTAAGATTCGTGTGTATGATATCAATGCATTTTTTTATCGATGGCAATATATCTGATTCCGGCAAGTCTAACAAGTCACAGGTATGATACTGAATGTCATCGTATTTTTCGAGAAGATTGACACCTATACTCAAAATATGTCGTATTTCATACTTTTTTAATATATCAATACAAACAGCTGAATCTTGAGAACCGAGATACAATCCTGATATTATACTGGCTACATGCAAGTCGGGTTTTTCATCCACTACGAATGGCAGACTTTTTTCTAATTTCTTCACTCGACCATGTTCAATTTCATATTTATTGCCAAGCTGATCTATTATCACTGTTTTACATGATTTTAACGACGATTTTTTTGTCATGATAAGTTCTCGTAAATCCATCATGCAAAAATTAATAAATATTTATTATATAAATATTAACATTCGATGGCAAATGTTAAATACATCCGTTAAAAAACATCATGTATCAATGTCATTATCTACTACATGATACAATAGATTCTATATTTTATATATTAACATTTTTCAACTATTGCAATTAACACAGTTTTTTAACGCATATTTTTTATCTTCTATTCTTTCAACTGTAATCCTTGTTGCTGTTCTTCCCACTCTAGTTCCTCCAATTGTGGTGCCTTCTGTTGTTCTTCCTCTTGCAATATGGTACAACGTCTTAATTCATCTGGATCGTATTCTACATTCAATAGATGTAAGCCATTCGGTGGTACAGGCGTAACACAGGAATTCCAGTTACGATGCGAAGGAACTTGTAACATCACAGTGATATCTTTTTCTGTTATTTTTCCTAATCCTAACGCAATAAGAGCACCAACCATTCGTCTAACCTGCGTGTGTACAGAGAGTAGCACTTATAATTTTCTTACATACAAATGTATTTATTTGCGAATAAAGTATTACCTGATTGTACAAGAAAGCTTTTGCCTTGCATGTGAAATGCAAGTATGTAAAATTCTTGGACAGTGGGTCAAATGGCATTAAAGACTGCGCCTCTTCCAAAGTAAAAGCCTGTAAAGCACGTACATACTGGATTTTGCGATCTGATGTTGTTTGCGCGCTAAACGTAGTAAAGTCTTTTGTTCCCATAAACAATTGTATACCACGTCTTACTCTATCTATGTCAAAGTTGTGTGATCTGAAAAATTTGTCACACAACAAAGGATTTATTCAGTACCTTGAAAGACAAAAATAATAAAAATGAGTAAATTTAATAGAATATTTATAATTTTATTGATCAACACATCTAGTAAATTTTATTATTGCAATTTTTATTCGTTTCAAAATAAAGAATTTTTACTTCATATAATTACCTTAAACAATGAGTATGTATTATTTCTGGAAGGGATATCCGTTGTTCTTCATATATTTTAGGTATCATAAATCTGTACAGATACGTCCGAGATTTACATGAAAATCTTACATGAAAATCATGTGTGATAGGTATACACTCCAGTAACCTATAAACAGCATTATTTTTAATAAATATGCTAACATTAAAGTTCATTTGTATGTGTGTGTACCAAAAAGTAACATTGGCTTAAAGTTATTTACGCAAAGCTTAAAACTCTTCCTCTTTTTCAAATTTTATTATCTCTACTATGCAATCTTTTGTTTTCTACATAAAAAGTGCCTATCCAGATAATAAATATCTATCCAGTGACCTATTCACATAAGCCAATAGAAAGACAGAGAGTGAGAGTTTTAAGTCTCATTTAAAGTTAAAATACATTAACGCACACTTTTGTGAGGTAATCATAATCGGGTATGTTAAGTTAGTACCTCCCCCAACTATAGTACTCAGGAGTTCTGATTAGAGTTACCACTTCCTTTTGACGAGACGAAGAGTTCCCTATAGTTAATAACAAGAGTTCCGCGCTCAATAAACATTTTTTTTACATTTTTTAAAAATGGGGTGCTAACTTTTTATCGAATTTCGATGTGGAATAGTTCTGAGCGGCTTAATAGCTTCAATTTGCGATTGCCTAGAGTTCCTGATATGTAAAAAAAATTTTCGAATAAAAAAAAATTAAAAATTTTTGAAAACTTAATTTTTAGATACAATAGTTCTGATGATAATTTCTGCTTCTTTTTGACGATACGAAGAGTTCTCTATGATTTTTAATGACATACGCGCTTAATAATCATTTTTTAATAATTTTTTAAAAATGGAGTGCTAATTTTTTAACGAAATTCAAGGTCGCATAGTTCTGATCAGCTTAACAGAACTATTTTGCGAATACCTAGAGTTCTTGATACATAAAAAACATTTTTGAAATACAATAAAGTTTAAAAAAAATAGTGGAAACCTTTGAAAATTTTTTTGAGAGTACCGAGTAGTTCTGAGTAGCGCTTCTTATAGTACTCGACGAGTTCTATCGAAAACTGTAAAGTGAAAAAGCGATTAGACCAACGGTTTGCAAGATACAGCGACATTTGTCAGAAGATCAACAATTTTTAGAATATATCTCGGAAACCATTGGTCCAATTGCTTTGAGTCCTGATACTTTTCGACAAAACTCGCCGAAAACTGTCCAAAACTCCGAACAGAACTACTCGGTACTCCCAAAAAATTTTCCGACGTGGGACTTGGAAAAAAATTTTTGATCAAAAATTTTTTGGGAGTACCGAGTAGTTCTGTTCGGAGTTCTGGACAGTTCTCGACGAGTTCTGTCAAAAAGTATCAGGGTTCAAAGCGATTGAACCAACGGTTTCTGAGATATACTTATTTAAAAATTGTATGATCTTACAAATGTAACAAATGTCGCTGTATCTTACAAACCGTTGGTCCAATCGCTTTTTCACCTTACAGTTTTCGATAGAACTCGTCGAGAACTATAAGAAACGCTGCTCAGAACTAATCAGTACTCTAAAAAAATTTACCGACGTGGGACTTGGAAAAAAATTTTTGATCAAAAATTTTTTGGAAGTACCGAGTAGTTCTGATCGGAGTTCTGGACAGTTCTCGGCGAGTTCTGTCGAAAAGTATCAGGGCTCAAAGCGATTGGACCAACGGTTTCCGAGATATACTCACTTTAAAAATTATTGATCTTTTGACAAATGTCGCTGTATCTTGCAAACCGTTAGTCCAATCGCTTTTCCACCTTACAGTTTTCGATAGAACTCGTCCAGTACTATAAGAAACGTTACTCAGAACTACTCAGTACTCTCAAAAAAATTTTCAAAGATATCTACTATTTTTTTAAAACTTTATTATTCTTCAAAAATATTTTTTATGTATCAAGAACTCTAGGTATTCACAAAATACTTCTGTTAAGCTGATCAGAACTATGCGACCTTGAATTTCGTTAAAAAGTTGCACCCCATTTTAAAAAATTATTAAAAAATGATTATTAAGCGCATGTCATTAAAAATCATAGAGAACTCTTCATATCGTCAAAAAGAAGCAGAAATTATCATCAGAACTATTGTATCTAAAAATTAATTTTTCAAAAATTTTTAATTTTTTTTAATATTCGAAAATTTTTTTTACATGTCAGGAACTCTAGGCAATCGCAAATTGAAGCTATTAAGCCACTCAGAACTATTCCACCTCGAAATTCGATAAAAAGTTAGCACCCCATTTTTAAAAAATGTAAAAAAAATGTTTATTGAGCGCGGAACTCTTGTTATTAACTATAGGGAACTCTTTGTCTCGTCAAAAGGAAGTGGGAACACTAATCAGAACTCCTGAGTACTATAGTTGGGGTGCTAACTTAACATACCCATCATAATCAGGTCTAAGATGAATGTCTTCATAAATTACCTAATGGTATGACCACATTTGGCAAAGTAACGATTAACATATCGTTTTACTTCTGAAGATTTATATACTGTGTTATATTTGTTTTCAAGCTCTACATGAGCAGTGTTGCCTAAAGCATGAACTCCAGCATCTGTTCTACAAAAATATTTATTTTTATGTTATACTTATTTTAAATATTTATTTTTATATTATATCATAAAACTTTATGTTATAAAAGATTGATAAGAATAATTTAGTCTTTCCAAGAAACACATAGAAAACAAAACAATTAAAAAAATATATATATACATATATAATTGTTAATTATATAAAACCAAATATAAAACAATATTTTTGACAATAGGTAGAATGTTATAAGATCTTAGGTATATTAATTAATGCAAGTTAATTACACAGTATAAAAACAATATGAAAGTCTACCTGCTAGAGAGACATAATGAAGGAATAATTAGACTTTTTGGCGAAATGGTTTGTAGAGCAGTTTCTAAAGCACCCTGGACAGAATCTGCATCTCGTATAAAGCAGTTGGAACTCTGCCTTTGCAAGCCCCTTTACAAAAAACAGTAATAATAAGTCACACAATAAAAAGAAAGAAAAATGTAGATTCTATATACAAAACAACGAGATATATGCATGAATACATTGTGCTTAAATAATATATATGTATTGTTTATAGTATAAAATAGAATAGAATATTTTATTACTTCAGTTTACATTACCAAAATTATTATCTCTACTATGCAATCTTTTGTTTTCTACATAAAAAGTGCCTATCCAGATAATAAATATCTATCCAGTGACCTATTCACATAAGAAAAAGATTTCTTATCCTTAGTATCACCAAAATATCACAAAATATAATTATAATCACAGCCCCATTCTATTATTGCTTAATTCGCTGCTATTTAATTACATCAATTTGTGCCAACTCCCTTTAGTTCCCTCAGATTCTGCATTCCTTTTCCTAATCATTTTACTTCCCTTCTTTTCAATTTTCTTAAAATTTTATTTTGGTTCTGCGCATAACAGTTTTACAACTGTTTTATGATTCTTCGCTGAGATAGGACTATTCCTTTAGATCTAAAAGTATAATCCAATTAGCGAGACGAATCATAAAACGATTGCAGAACTGTTGAGTCTGCTGAACGCAGCCATTTTAAACTTTTGAAAAAAAATATACCAATGTGTGTGTACATTATTCTCTATACAAACATCTATTAATATTTACAATTAATATTCAACACACATTCTTTAATAATATTAAAAAATGAATATGCATATCATATGCATATATAGGTTTTATATTTAATTTTTATTATTGTGCAAGACCAAGTTATTACATATTACAATAAGTAAAATAATAATGCCAACTTTTCAAATAACAGCGTCAACATGACGGTTTCTCTGTCACGCTTCCCGCGATCTTCAACGGCATAACTTCCCAAACCATCCTAAATCGTTCAAGCAATTATACAATAACCACCTTCGATTTTGATAAAATTCAACTTATTCGACGCGTTTTTGCACAAAACGAAAAAAATCTGACAGAAATAAGCATCGCTCTGCCCCGCGAACCGAGATATTAATCGTTTAAGGTTGACTATTGAGGTTAGGAAATCTGTCACAGCCCTACAATCGCAACGTCTTCTACATGCATTTCGATCTTATGCACTCTCACCCCTACTATGGTTACGTTTGCAGACTTGGTGACTGTTGGTGAACCCTTTACGAGTTATAAATACTTTTCAAGCGAGCACTGTCTAGGCTGCAACAATTCTAGGGCTGCGTTCGGAAACGTCACCGGAGTACCCCCGTGCATCGTCTTATCCTCGTTTAATATGTTGTTTTAACTTTCTGTTTATTGTCCCCTAAATTGCGCTCAACATCGTACAATAAATCTCACATTCGCACACATCTTATTACCAGCCCCGCAGCCAGAAAGGCTTGGAAAGGCTGACACTGGGATTACTGGGCAGTGCGGGCCATTGAGGTTCGCGTAAATAGAGGGTTACGTTGGGTTGCGTTTAGAATCATCGCCTGAGTGCACCCAGGTGTCGTATTAATCTTCGTTTATCATTCGTGAACAACAAGGAGCGGCCCAAGACGCTAGTAAAGGACTTCCGCGATAAATTGATATCAAAAGCACGGTCGAAGTCGGCAACACTTTTTCAAAATATTAATCGAGGTGATGCAATATCCGAATCAGGACGAAACACGTGCATCCCCTTTGAGGGTCCCCACAAGAATACCAAAGAATACTCATTCGCAGTACTCGCACACACATTCATGCCATCCAATCGAGCATGTATAAATTTACATTAGAATATAAATATACTATATGTTATATATACCTGTACTGAGTACCAATGTACGAAAATTTAAGAAAATATCGTACCATAATTGGCTGCTTTCCTTTTAAAAGGCACAAATCTGACACACAACTGGAACACAGTTTGCCACACTTAAATGGAACGCGATATGTGTACGGTGTGTATCGTGCGTACGAACTTTTAATACCTAACCTTAAAAGATTTGAATTTTGATCTTAACGGACGCACGAGATTCGATTATTGAAAGGAGTGATCGGAGTGATGTGATGATTTTCGAGTAAAGGTATATACTAAATACTTTATGTATGAATACCTCCACCAATTGATACTTTAACGAATTAGCGGAGGTTTTCCAAAAAAAAGATTTAACATCTTACAAGTATTAATTGTAAACTCTCCAAAATTATTTTTAAACTTTACAGGTATTGATAAATATCGTGTATCAAAATTATTTATCACATGAAATATATTTTAAAAATAAAGTTTATTTTATTATTTTTATTACTTTTTAAATAAAAATAAAAATATAATATTTAAAAATTAACGACAATGCAGTGTTTAATATACTCGAAAAAAATCTTAATATAAAGTTATTTTCTTATTTATTCTTAATATAAAAATTATAAAGGTATATAATACTAGAGAGAAGCCTGAGAGCGGTCGTGTCATGCCCGGGATTTAGCTGTTAATTTATTTTGAAGCGCCTCTATGTCCACTAAACGTGGACATTGAACTATGTAGCCAATGTCCACGATCGTATCGGTAATGTCCACGATTTTTTGGTTCGAATCTTCCCAATGTCCATGATTATCGGTCCGTTAGACAAAGACAGACAATGATTTTTCTTTCATGATATTCTATGTGTCCTCTTTCTGCAATTTATTTCCCAAATGCAATCCTTAATTTTCTTGAAGTTTATGCAGAGCAACAATATAATCCCATTTTATATCCTCCCCATTTTTATTTACAAAGTATTTCGTACCAACTTAAGCATATGGCATGGATCCAAAATACATGCACTTTTATGCTTTGAAATGGGATCAAATGGGATGTTCAAAATGTGTCTGTAAACAATTCGGATTATTAATATTGCACTTTAAAAAGCGTATCATACTTAAATTATTTGCTGCACCGTCACATAAGGATTTTATACATACTCCACAATCATGCAATATCGATAAACATTGAAGAATGAAATTTGCTTTTTGTTCTCCATTAATACCGTTAATGAAGAAATAACCTACGGGTATTTTCCATAATTCTAATGAATTTATTAATGCATTATTAATGCCTACGACTAGAAATACAAGCGCTTCTTTGGCAATATTATGTTCCTCATTAGTTATATTATTGTTAATATCACAGTGTCCGCAAAATTTTTGTCCATCAAATTCGATTTTCTGTCTAATTGCCATTTCATCGATCATCAAAGCACCAAACAGCAAATAGTTAGTATTTTTTACACGATGTTTGATAAATTCTAGAGCTTCATTATTAAATCCTGGTTCCCCATCAACTGACCGATACCACTTACATGATGTCTTTGGATATGGGAGACAGGAATTAAAATTTTCTCTGACATAAGAATATGCTCTCGGAGAATAATAATGCATGTAAGGTCAACGCAAACGTTCGTATTTCGGCCGTATATTTTCGAGTCAATGATTTTCCCTTAGACTTATCAACTAAACGCTTCAATAAATTTGAGGTTCCAGCTGCAATACCTTTTAAAGTATACAATTGCTCGTAACAATCTTTTTTCACCTAACGTTTTAAATATAGCTTCCATAGTAGTCATCCTTTTTTTCATACGTCTCACTTTTTGGCTCAAAACTTTCAACCGTTTTTTGTAATGTTCCTTTGTTGTTTTCAATTCTTTCCTTAATTTAACATTCTCCGGCGAATTATAGATTCTACTTGGAGATACTGCAGTAAATTTAGATTCTTTCAAGGGTGATGAGCCAACAACAGCTAAAAAAGGAATAATATATATTCATAATTATGTAAAATAATAAATATAAGAGTTTATCATTAATATTGTACTGTTTAAAAATATTATTCAACTTAATACAATTATTTCAATTTTGAAAAGTTATACCTATATCACTTCTTTCCACACTTCCTTCAGTAATTGTTTCATTGCATAAAAGCGGCTGTATCCCAACCAAGAATGTTTCTTCACGTATTCTCTTTGTATTCATTACTGATAAAGATTCTTGCTCAATTGTTGATATTTCTGAAGGTATCTACAAAAGTTCATAAAATATCTAAAATGATTACTCTATAATAGATCACAGTAAACTATTTGCAGTATGCTTAATTGAGATACAGAATTTGCTGATATAATATATGATGGTATATGACAGCAGAATGCGGAATAATTGACAGTATTATGACAGCACTGATGCATATATAAATTCAAATAAAAATAATAAAACAATGAAGATGCATGACAAATATAAACAATTGTATCAAACATGTCTTACATGTGGAACTGCATCTGCTTTTAATTTTACATACACTAATGATGATTTGTCGAAATCTTTGGAATGAAAATGCATGGAGCATATGACTGCATTTTGCTTTACAGAATTTTCCGGAATGTTTAATGCTGCACACCATGATAATCGTCTTATTTTATTGTTTGGGAAACTGTAAAATATATATATTTATTTTATTATAATTAATACATAATTGTAAGTAGTAATTTATATTTTATTTTATAATTTATCAGATAGCACAATGTTCAAAATATAGCCAGGTCTGCGTAGACAAATTTTGAGCAAAGCTTCCTATCAAGTTTTAATAGCAGAAAGGCAATGAATTGTATGTAGAGTAATATATCTGGCAATGTCGACAAATTGCCGCTAAAAATATAACAAAGTTTATTTGGTCTACTAAGTCTGTTAATTTGCCAACAAATTGCTAACATTTTGCTATCAGGGAAGTTATATATTATACACTTACGCATGAAATGTTATTTTTTGTTTTTCCTCTATTTTTTCTTGTTTTTTAGATTTACGAAATGTTCTATTATTGCATCCTACTATTATACATGACGGCATTTTTACTATAAAAAAATATTAAAAGTTGAATCTTAAATCTAATGAATTCTTCCACGAAATTCTGTAAAGTAATACTACAAATTGTCGACTAGATGACAGCACTATATGATGACAGCGTTTTGGCTCCCTCGTTGTTGGCCATCCGAACTAATGATCAATATGGCCGCTTTGGTCGGTAATGTAATCAGATTTTTAATACGGCCGTCTAAGTAAAAGTGAAGGTGAAGTTACAATCATACAATTATTCGGTTTTTAATAGCCCCTGCAATAATCGGAGCGGTGGCGCGTCGCAGAGCCTTTATTTCGAGCCATTTCGAGAAGCGATCCCTGCATTGTAATTAACCACGTATTTCCCTTTTTGGATCGCGGCAGCGGTCCGACCAAATCGAGGGTAACGTGTTGCCAGGGGCGTGGGCGGTCGCGTGCATCATTCCGGCGGGTTTCGCTTGCAGTACTTTGTGTCTAATGCTTCCCGTACACGCGCCCGCTTCGCACAATAAACAACTAAAACACACATGTTACACAATGTACTAATATGTACATAAGTATATCTGTATGTATATGAACACTTATAATAGGTATCCATACGAAAACCTTGGATCAGTCGTTCCCAAGACATCGACGTGCTTATTTGTCAGCAAACAATTTCAAATTCAAACGTATCATTTGGTAATTAATCTACACCATTAATTTTTGAATAAAAGTTATTAAATCATAAAAGTTATTAAATAAATCTAACAACTATTCATCGTCAGAGAGGTGACTTTACAGTTTTAAATATTTGTATCATAACAAACATTAAATATCGATAACTAAATTCATTTGACACAGGTTTCTGTTACTTGCTTATTACTTTTTGTGATAGCTATCAATTTATTATAATTTTATTGTACTTAAAATTATTACTGCTTTTTAGGATTTTTTATAATTTAGGAAAAGTCTGAAATTGTAAAAGTGTCTAAATATATTTAGAACGTATAAAGTACGAAAGTAATATAAAGGACGTTATAGTAAAGTGAGTTGAAAAATATCTCTGATGGATAAGAGAGTTGAATCTAAAAATATTAATCAAAATGAAGAAACGAACAACGACATAAAAGAAGATGAACACAAACAGCGCGGTAAGAATTATATAGTACCTAATAATCATTCTTAATTTTATTCATGTCATTGTGCATTAAAATTTGATCAACAAAATTAATACATTAAATAATGCATCATACAAAGAAACAAAAATTTTGATGTGTGTACTTAAAATAATTTTGTCAAAATTCATCGTATCGAGATTTTTAGAACAAAACACTTTAAAGCTTTGAATCTGTTCTCTTCAGACATTTATTTCAAACGACATTTTATAAAGTTACACAAATAAAAAAGAGGGTGCAACAGATTTCAATATTTTTAAAGATATTTGCGAAAATTCCATGTCGCGAATTAAGAATGTGCACTAATACGGTTTAAAAGCAACTGAAAAGGTAAATCTTGGTATCTCAATTTCTTTACTATCGTGCTCTGTACTATTTTCATTATTTGAATGGTCGCGTTCAGCAGAGAATGTAGCGGTGCAACCGTTGTAAAATTTCGTGCTGAACGCTACGGAGCGGTTTACGCTATTACAACATGTTTGAGCGGTCACCATTTTAAGGTTGATTTATACTGGCCGTAAACTGTTAACTTATGCCGTAACCTGTAAAAATTGACCAATCACAGTCGAATGAGAGGGGAATAATCGATTATAATTGGTCAATTTTTACAGATTACAGCATAAGTTAACAGATTACGGCCAGTATAATCCAACCTTTACCCATCATAATGAAAGTACGCTCCCAGCGCTACGGAGCGTTGCGTAAAGCGCTCAAGTAGCGACTTTCTCTGCTGAACGCAACCATACTATACGTTGATGTAAAAATGAACATTTTGCTGCAACGTTGAATAAATCTGTGAAAAAAATCTTACAGAGGTCGACGGACAAGAAAATTACATACAAAAAACGATTCTATCTTTCGGAAGCCATCGAAAACCATTTGTGCACAATTATCATTTCGCACCGTGCAACTTCACAAAAGTCGTATAAAACTTTAAGATTTGATGAATCGTTATTTATGACATGATGTAAGAATATAAGATGTTTCAATGCGCATTGTAGGTGGGCCCGTAATTAGAGCAGCCAATAAAAATTTAGTCCCAAATGCAGCGCGAAATTCAAATCAAGTATTATACATGATGTGAATAAATGCTTAAAAAATATATAAAGTTTTCATAATAGTGAATAATAATAACAGTTTGTATACACATAAGTATTTTAATTGTAGCAATTAACCTGAATCAACTTTTAAATCTGTACTTTTGTATGTACATACGTGCGACTTTTACAATTTTTCACGCAACACGACAGCATTGTAAAAACTCGATTCTGTAAGAACAAAATATTAAAGAATTATCACAGTAAATTAGTAATAATCCTCCCTCAGCGGAATGATGCTATCACGATCGTCGACGACTAAGAACGGAATAAAATCCAAAAATGACTTAATATGTAACTTACCCTGTAAATTCGGCTACAAATCCTGTTGCGGATCGTTGCAGATCTTGGATGAAGCCATATTGTTTTTTTGCATTTGAGGCAAATTTCTGATTGGTCGACACTGCGCATCTCGGGAGTTGAAACATCTTATATCTTACATCTTACATCATGATTTATGATACTCTAACTTTATAAAATGTCAGTATGGAATTTTATAAAGTGACGGTGTGAAGGGTAGAGATTACATTATATTATAAATTGGTTTCTTTAACATTTTGGTCGGATGATCTTTTACAAAATCGTTCTTTTTCGAAGTTTGCCTGTTCTTGCTGGTTTAATTTGAGTAGAGTATTTTAAAAATTATGATAATTATGTTAGTTTTCTCTCTCTTTTTTTTTCATAACAAGATCTTTATTTAATTTTAAGATGATCGCTCTAACTCTCCGACAATTTCAAATGCGGAGAATAGAAAAATACATCACATTAGACTATACATATGTAAAACATGTTTTAAAGGGTTTAAGACTAATTGGATTTTGAGTAGACACGAGAGAACGCATAAAAACGAAAAGCCTTATCAATGCGAGTTTTGTAAATATAAATGTGGGTGAGTATTTAAGTGAACAACAAGAGTTAGGAAAATGCTTTGGTTATTCAACATCAATGATTAAATTAACAGGTAAAAAATAATAAATATTACAATGATCTATTTGCAGGCAAAAGGTACATCTAAATAGTCACGTGATATTAAAGCATAAAGATGATGAACGTTTCAAGTCTAATAAGGACCTATATTCAGGAGGTGTATCACACAAATGCGGAACGTGTAATAAAGAGTTTATGTACATAACGCATTTACGTAACCATGAAAGAACTCATACAGGCGAGAAACCTTATCAATGCGAATTTTGTGAAAAAAAATTTAGGTGTGTATTTAAGTGAACTATAAGAATTAGGAAAATGCTTTGGTTATTCAACATCAATGATTAAATTAACAGGTAAAAAATAATAAATATTACAACGATCTATTTGCAGGCAAAAGGTACATCTAAGTAGTCACGTGATATTAAAGCATAAAGATGACGAACGTTTCAAGTCTAATAAGGACCTACATGCTGGAGGTGTATTACACAAATGCGAAACGTGTAATAAAGAGTTTAAGAACAAAACGCAATTACGTAACCATGAAAGAACTCATACAGGCGAAAAACCTTATCAATGCGAATTTTGTGAAAATAAATTTAGGTGAGTATTTAAGTGAACTTCAAGAGTTATAGGGAAATGCTTTAGTAATTCATTATCAATGATTAAATTAACTGGTAAAAATAATAATTATTTCGATGATCGTTTTGTGCAGCCGGAAAGATGGCCTAATATATCACGTGATGACAAAGCATAAAAATGATAAAGGTCTTCACGATTTCAAGTCTAATAAGGATCTATATACTGGAGGTGTATCATACAAATGCGGAACGTGTAATAAAGAGTTTAAAAACAAAGCGCATTTGCGTATTCATGTGAGAACTCATACAGGCGAAAAACATTATCAATGCGAATTTTGTGAAAATAAATTTAGGTGAGTATTTAAGTGAGTTACAAGAGTTATACGGAAATGCTTTAGTAATTCATTATCAATGATTAAATTAACTGGTAAGAAATAGTAAATAATACAATGATGTATTTGCAGTCAAAAGGTATGTCTAACACGTCACGTGATATTAAAGCATAAAGATGATGAACGTTTCAAGTCTAATAAGGACCTACATGCTGGAGGTGTATTACACAAATGCGGAACGTGTAATAAAGAGTTTAAGAACAAAACGCAATTACGTAGCCATGAAAGAACTCATACAGGCGAAAAACCATATCAATGCGAATTTTGTGATAATAAATTTAGGTGAGTAAATTCCTGAATATCAAGAATAAATGGAATTATTTCTATAATTCGTTCTATATGCTTAAATTATTTTGTAACAAATGATATATTGCAACGGTAACTTTATAGACATATTCGATCTCTAAGACAGCACAAATTTATGTTTCACTACAATAACATTATTACAAATTTAATGAATATGAAAAGAATTCTCATACTAAATGGTACTTAGTCATCATGTGGACTCGAAGCACGAAAATAAAAGACAACATCTTTACAATTAAGGTATGTCCTTTTTTGCGTTTTTTGACGATTCGATATTTATTTTATGGTTTGACTACTTCATTTAAAGATAAAAATTTTTTAATTCTTGACTCTTAATTTGTCCTCTTAATTTACCATTTGTTTTAAACTAAGAGTCCTTTACATCATTTATTATTGTTTATGTCCTTTAATATTATTACAGATTACAAATAGAGGGCTATATAAGAGCCAGATGTGTAACAAGGAAGCTTTAATTCAAAATAATAAGAAATTACAAAAAACGGTTTGACGCCGCTCGGATCATTATCAATGTCACAGTAAATTATAATTATGAAACTATTTGAAACCTATAAAATTGTTCTGTAGCGCAGTCCTCGTATCCTTTACTTTGTCGAGTACATAAATGAAAATAATCAGAGTAGTAAAATGTTAAAAGTTTATGAATAAAAAATTCATGAATAAGAAACACAGACATAGTTTTACTAGATAAAGTGTTGAAAATTTATAAATAGTAAAGAAGAACGCAGATAGTTGAAATTCTCATCATAGTTATGAAATTGTTACATTCAGAAATGTGAGCAAGTTTGCAATCGTAGTATTACCGAACAAATGATTTCGACGGTGTCAGATAACGTAATAGATATATAATAAATTATATATAATACAGTATGTACAATAGATTACGTTATGTGACATCGTCCAAATCATTTCATATGTCTTTGTTGTTTTATACAGCTTTCTATTATGTTTCTTTTAATATAATTGTTTTTCAATTCTTTCTCACTTAAACGCCTTTGTGTTTACGCCTCTACGCATTAATTAAAAATATGCTAATTTTCTGTTTTTATTAGAGTCTTCGTTATCAGATCCAAACGGCCACAAGTCCGTAAATATTTCAATTAAAATTACACTTTCTCGTTTGTGAAAGAAGACTTTAAAGAATATCACTTTAAAGGACCTCAAAGGAAATCAGAATTTTGAGGTATTCAACCGAAATCGTTCATTTATTTAAAAAATTATAAAATCATCAATTATAATATTTTTAACAAATAAATTAAAGAAGACTCTCGAAAATTTCAAATAACAAGAATAATCAGGCTAATGAGAGCTATTCCGCGGTTATTGGTGCGACCATATATAAGATATTAGAGTGTGAATATTATATACCACGTAAGTAGTTCCCCC